CCCAAGCTAGTGTATCGCAAGATCCATGGACCATGAGACCTGACTAGTGGTGCGCCCCTTATTCCTCTGTCTCTGGAATCTGGAAGTCTGAACCCCCTAACACAATCTTACTATTTTTAAATCTTTGAGTCTTCCCTCGAATTGAAATGGGTACTACTTAAATTTCAGGAGATTTTTGGGAAGAACTACCTGGGACGTACTCATAGTCCTTGTGGTATTTGTCGCGAGAAAGGCCTGCGACGAATCCGACACAGACCTCACCACTGAAATGCCTCCCCTAACGGAACCAGAAGGTGAGTTATCAGACGGTTCAGCTTTCCCTCCAAGCTTCTGTTCCACTTGGGAACATTGGAGAGAAGAAATGTCCTACAGTCCCGCCTCCGATCGAAGTGGTTGTAATTCCTGATCTGAAAAAAGCCGAACATACTGTATTGGACATCAGCTGGAAGTCGCATCACTACACTGCAACTCCCAGGTACCGTAATTTCGGACTATTGTGCATATTTATTATTTTTTGTCTGAAAAATCACATTTTCCTGAATATTTCGGCTAGTCCAACGAAGAATGAGCTCCAATTCAGCTATATAATCGAGCTTTACGTGGGCCAGATGGATTCTGACGAATCGACAGAGTCAATGTTTGATCCATGGTTACTGATTCTTGAAACGACGGTAGGTGAAAATCATTTTTTCAAAAAAATTATGCTGTAAATGCTATCACAAAACAGAGATGTTGCAATATAACGTATCATCATACCGGAGAGACAGCCGCCACTAAAGTACGCATAGCAGCGGAAGTTGATGGCTTAACCAGCGAATACACTGAAAGCGGTGAGTCATCCGATCTACCGTAATCAGCAGCAAAGTTCCGGATTGAGGTACTGTATGATATACACGGGCATATGGACAGCGTTAAAGAACTCGCTGTCACCAATGGTTTTGTGATTTTAGAGAAAGTATCGTGGTTCATGCTTCACGCGCACCCTGTAGGCGGAGGTGGTGTAGCGCCAAGTGGCGCACCATAAGACGCTTGTTTATGGGATCGAAAACCGGCTCGATATTCATCCAAGCCAACCAAACCACCATTCTTCCGGGGTCTGTTAGTTAATACCAGACTCAAAAAAGCTCACTTGCACGTAGGCTGGCCATCGTAAGTCATTGTGAAGGCCACACACTATTTCCACCACCACTAGGACACTGAATGGAGGTTGAGTTTGGGGCTCATCCGGGAGTGATTAATGTTTATGAATTCATTCTGAGTACTAGGAAATTAGCAAACAAACTAATCTCTCATAAGGCTCAAGTCGAGATTTTTCAGAAAAAGTATTTCTCCCGAACTTTCGTGAATCGACTCTTTCCCTCAATGCAGACTTCGTGAGCTATTCAGAAATTTATCTCAGATTTTTATCC